TTTTTTTTTTTTTTTTTTTTTTTATTTATTTTAGCATATTAACATTTGATTAACTAAGAAGAAATTATTTTGCAATACCTAAGAAATTTAAATTTTCCATGTGAAAGGTGATTGGAAGCTTTGCGTCTTTGAACCGTCGGTTTTTTGTTCATCACAGGAAAAAAAAAAAAAAAAGCTTAAGAATTTGAGGCGTCTTCTTCGTTCCAATTCCTCTGAAATTGATCGACCCTCGAAGTTCTTTGTTTGCTCGCGAAGCTACCGCGGGATTTCCACGCCGTTGCTCCCTTTTGACTATTTGTTGCCTGTGATAATCTTCATCTTCATCTTTATTGGCTCTCTTCCATACAAAAAGGGGGTTTTCGCTCTATATTCTTTTTGTTAATCCGTTTGGAACTTTGAAGATCTTGTTTCTTGCTTCGATCCTGTACCGTAAAGAGGTCAGTTTAATGGCTAAATTCTTTCTTTCCTTCCTTTTCTCTTTGTTCTTTGTGGATAAGGAAAGAAATGGTCCAGCGAAATGGTAGTTATCTAGTTCTTTTGCTTGTGTTTTTTTGGGTTGTAGGTTTCGGAGTGAAATTGATTAACATAGAAAGGGTTGATGATTGAGCGATTGCATTATTAGGTTTTTTTTTTTTTTTTTTTTTTTTTTTTTTTTTTTTTTTTTTTTTTTTTTTTTTTTTTTTTTTTTTTTTNTTTTTTTTTTTTTTTTTTTTTTTTTTTTTTTTTTTTTTTTTTTTTTTTTTTTGTAGTTTTGTTGGTTTCTTGAATTGGTGGGACTCTGTGGCAGGATTGTAATGAATGTTTCCCTGTTTTTTCAACTAAAATTTCTGAACTACGATGGAATTTCTAGGGTTTCGTGAATCGAGGTTTGTGAAAAAAACGTTCGCAATGTTGCTGCAGAGTCGAATGGCCGCTGGTGCGGCTTGTAAACGGGTGGGGCAATCGTTAGCCAATTCAGGTTTTCAAAGGTTTGGAGTCCCGAAGGCGTCTTCGTTTGAAAGCGCAATTTCCGACCATTCTGCAAATAGTTCATCGGCGGCATCCATCTCCTTGATTTCTCGGTATAGGCAGATCTCTCAGCTTGCGAAATCTAACGGGAAGCGATTGTTTCTAGTCGACACTTTAGCCCTAGTAATTTCGCTCTCTTTATTCTTTGCCTTTTCTCGGTTTTGTAACATTGTTCTTCGATTTTTATCAATCGCTTGCATTATAATCCACCATGGGGGTGGAATGAGGAAGTTAAGAATTTATGCACTCTCATGAGGGCTGCTTGAAAGTGATATGATTCCTTTTCTTTCAGGTTAGGAAATTGGAGGGTCAAGGGGTGCCCTCAAATCAAGCTGAGGCAATAACAGCTGCCATTACTGAAGTGTTGAATGATAGCTTGGAAAATATATCTCATTCATTTGTTTCAAAGGGAGAGATGCAGAAAGTGAGTTTTTAAGTACTTTACTTTTACATGTTTTCTATTCAGCTAATGTCGGTGTAGTTCAATGATGACGAAAAGCTAAAGTTTTTGGTGGTACGAGCGTGTATAACATCTATCATTTTACCTTCTTTTGTATTGTTTGCGTCCTACTGTCCTTTAAATGGATATCTTTACTATATGTTTGTAGGTTGAAATGATCCAGGATTCAAATTTGTCAAAATTCAAATCTGAAGTTCAAAGTTCACAGGTACCAAATTTGTAGACTTGCCCTATCCTAGTTTACTTTCTTGGTCTGGTTAGATGATGGTATCTATGTATAATACTCCCTAATTTGTTTGGTTTAGCAACAAACTAAAGAGGGAAACCTTAAATAAAAATGAGTATTTAGTTTCCATTGGAGTCCTGTATCATAATATACTCAAGAATGTTGTTGCACTTCTTGAGCAGAAAAGAAATATTCCAGACCGATGTGATGATCTACACTCCGAATTCCTGCTTTTTTGCAATACGTGAAATAATTAAGTTCGATTAACACTTGAACTACCATGAGTTGGTTAAGTAGTCAAAGCGACAACCATAAACTTGTATGTTTTTTAGGTTATGGGATCAATTCTTAGTGTCACTCATTTCAAGATGCCAAATGACTTACTAATATCATGGGTCGTGACCAAATGTTGCGTATTTTGGATAATGTGGGTGGGGTGGGTGGGAGGACGAAGGTGTCTTCGGGCATGGGAGTTTTATACAGCATCTGGCTGAATTCTTGATTACTGAACTTGCTAGTGAAAATATAGCACTTACGGGTCTGCAAACTATGATGGTGTTTGCACTGCTGGGAAATTTCATATTTTTGTACACTATGGACGTGAAGCTCCCATATGCTATTGGAAGGAGTTTTCTGAAAAGTTTCTGATCCATTTCCTGCTAATTTACTTCGCAAGATGTTCCTTTACAATGTTGGATTGTTTGTTTATGTCTCTGACCATTGGATTGAACACATGGTATGTAGGGGCACCATTTTTCTTTATTGGGACACGAGACAGAAAAACTTCGAAATGATATCGAGAAGATGCGTAGTGAGTTGAGGTTTGTGTTACCGTACATCAGTTTTTATGAAATGTATACTAGCTTCATATTTCAACATTAACTTGTTCTCTCTTGAATTAATCTTATTTGTGCAAAGACCTTTAACTATGGTGCAGGTATGAAATCGACAAAGTCACAGCTGGACAGCGATTGGATTTGAATCTTGAAAGAGGGTAAGTATACTTTTTCACGTAAAAAAAAGAGTACATTTTGGTTTGATTTGAGCTTTGCTTACAAATTCCATTGTTCACAAGTGCAGGAGGATACGGGATGAGCTAGCTAATCAGAATGCTGAAACAACTAACCTGACGAATAAACTCGATCGGGTAAGACCAACCTCCTGAAGAGAATGTTGGACAATTTTAGATAAAGTTTCTTAGTTTAGATAAGCAAATTAACATACAAATTATAGACTTAAAGAGACTTTAAAACTCATTGAAACTGTGTTCTACTTGTTCTAGATAGAAAAACAATAGTCTTGGGCTGTGTTAGAAGAACAATTCTTTGAGTTTTTTCTGCTGTGTGAGTTGGGGTAGGCTGCAAAAAACCCGAGTGCAGCACGGGATTCTCCCAAATATCGCTCTTCCGAGTTTTAACTCGTCTTCCTAAAACTTTTCAGGAAATTCATGGTCTGAGGGCACAGCTGGAAGCTGCCAAATACGATGTAATAAAATACTGCATTGGAACCCTTGTTTCCATCTCTGCTGTTGGTCTAGCTGTGTTGCGCATCTTAATGTAAACAGTTCAAAATCATGAACTGGTTTAGGGGATTGATCAAGAATTTGACAAGATTATTGTTTACTTTCAGTTTTTTTTTGTTCTTTAACCTTCTTTTAGAGAGGATTCTGGGAAGTTGAGCTATTTTCTCCGAGAGAGTTTCCATGTTTTATTTGTGTCGTCATGGAAATGGACCTCGTTGTAGCCATTTGAATTGTTCTCATTTGAGAATATGATTATAGATAGTGATAATAAACATTGTTGTAATTTTATGTGATCAGGGGATGTTCAACTCATTAGTATCCATGTTCTTGTGCCTTTTCTCTAATTTGTCTACCATTTTGTAGTTCAGCAAAATTTAAATCAACTTCGTAAATTCTTTCAAACTAACTCTTAAAAGTTGAACACGTGCTTACTTTCCAAAACAAACTTCAACTCAACTCACGTCTCATAAACTGTTTCAAATACACTCAACTTATTCAAACAATGAAGTCGAAAGACTAGTCTAAGCCTATCTCAGACTTGGATCTAAGTTTGGTACAAACTCAAACTTTAATCGGTTCAACTCGACCTTAAACCCTAAATCATGGCCACATTTGAATCAGCTCACCGAATTAGATTCTTTGGGAGTTAGGCATGGGTAGAGCTTCCACCTTCTAAGTGCGTCTTGGTGGGAATGAAAATCTTTTATCTTAATTAGTTGAATTATCCTCTTAATTTTGTACTTAAAACTCAATATAAAAATAAAATAAGCCAAGAAAAAAAAAAGGGCATGGTTGGACTAAAAAAGTAAAAATTAAATTAAATTAAAATCAATTAACGATAATTGGGCTGTGGGCCTCCATCTAGCAGAGATTTATGGGCCTCCATCTAGTAGAGATTTATGGGCCTTCAATGTGGGCTTCCATCTAGTAGAGACTTATGGGCCTTCAATGTGGGCCTCAATTAAAAAGTGAGAAGCCCAGACCCAATAAAGTGACAGATTTTATTTATTTTTCATTTATCATTTATCAGGGAAAAAAATTGATAATAATTTTTTCTTAAAAAAATTCAAAATTTAAAGACTAAAGAGAAAATAGCCATAAAAGTTGGAACTTGACATATTATTTAGACTTAAATATTAATTCTTCACATTTTTTATTTTTTTTAATTTAAATATTTTGTTTTCACTAAAATTAAATATAAAAACTAATTTTTACCATTAAAAGATGAGAATTTAATTTGAAGGTGTTAATGGATGGGTAATTTGGAAGCTAATTGACTTCTAATTAATATTAAATTTCCCAATTGCATAAGTATTTACTTTAATTAATATAATTTAATTTTGTCTTTGTAGTCTTCTGTTTCGTCGATCAATTTGAATTTACGTAGAGATATATCTCTCTGATAAAACGAGGTCAAACGTTTAAATTTCAATATTCAGTATTATTGAATTTTGACCTAAAACGGTCAATGATTCATGATTTGCACACTCTACCCAATGCGTGTAAAAGAAAGCCTTACTTTATTATCAACAAAACCATTGACGATTTTAATATACCGTAATTATGTTTTTCTCCACTCTTTTGAGCAACTAAATATGCATTTATGATATCTTTAATACAAATAATACATACCCATAAAAACCCGAGAATTATTTTTGTGTTTTATGAGCATTTGACTTATTTCAATTTTCTTTAACAATTCTCGAACCTACTAGACACACATTTTACCCAAGCTAAACATTCCTCGCCACTGAAGTTAATAAAATTGTGTTGGCTTCAACGACGTCACAGCCTAGATCTTCCTTACATTTATCGTCGTGGGTGTGAGAAACCCTTTTAACAATACTAAAACATAAACTTTAACGAGATCACATACATAATAAACCGTTGAAAATGAAAATGAAAATTTTAAGGTTAAAGATTTTGAGGGATGATTTTACTAAATTGCCCTTGGAGGGATGGGAGTAATGAATGTTTTGTCCCATAAGGAAGAGGGAATCATTGGAGTTTGGTGGGTCGGCGACAAAAGCTGGGCCATTGTCATTTGTCATTGCCTTTCTACCACTTTTTTTCTTCACTTTCCTTCCAAGCCATGTCTTGTCCCTCCACTCTTTTTCAACACTTCCCCCTCTCCCACAAAAGGGTATTTTTGGAAATTCATCTTCTTCAAATTTCAACTCAAAATTTCGAGTTGGTCGAGTTAATGAATCGAACAATCCGAACAGAGTTTACAATCTAACCTAATTCTATATTTCCACAATGTGTTTTAAAGTTCACTCGACAAAAAATAAAACAACTCACGAACCCATATGCCAACCCAAATCGAAAAAAATCTAATCCAACTCGATTAAGTTGAACTAGTTAGGATTGGTCAAGTTATCAGGTCGTATGAATACCCATTACTATAAATATTTAAATTTAAATAGTCATTTTTTGAATTAAATTATAATTAAAGTTATTATATATTTTTGTAAATAATCAAGTTTTAATTTTAATAGATTTAACTAAACTTATTGTTTAACTTTTTAAAATTCTTTTTATTTCCATACCACTTTTTTGCATTCCAATCAACCCAACAACCTAAAAGAGGAAAAAGAAAAAGAAAAAGAAAAAAAGAAAAGGGTAAATTAGGAATATGATAATTATTTTATTAACTTTATTGTAAGCCGTAATTAGTCGGTGTTTTTGGGAGGCGGGTTTAGGGTTAATCACGCCGTTTAAATTTAGAAATTAGAATAAGACGAGCGGGAAAATTATTCCTCTAAACGGCCGCCGATTAATCGCCATGCACGTGACCTTTTTTCCTTTTTTTTTTTTTTATCTCTATCAATTTATTTATTTAATTTTAATTACTAAATTTTATGTAATTACTTCACTCATTTATTAAATTGTAGCGTACGCGTATGCCTCTTTACTATAATAATTCTAATATTTTAAATTTTGCGTGACTCTCGTACATTTTTTAATATTGAATTATTTACTAAAAATCTAACAATTTTTTTTTTCATTTATTGGGTTTTTTTAATTATTTAAAATAATCTATTTATATATAAATTATAATACATCATTAACCTCAATTACTGGAATTATTCTGAACTTTTTAATTTTTCATCCATTTTTTATAGTTTTAGTTAGATAATTTGGATTAATTGTATTATTTTTTAGCATATAGTTGATGACATATTTTTAAAATAATTTTAAAAAAAAATTAAAAAAGAAAAATAAATAAAGGGGCAGTTTTAGCATAGGGGGGGCACGGACGCTTTCAGGCCTCATTCAATGCTCCTTACAGAACTCACCATCCATTTTTGTTCCCAAACAAACTCCATTTTCATCCTTCTCTCTCTCTCTCTCTCTCTCTCTCTCTCTCTTCACAGGCTTATCGGACCATGGAATGTGTTGATGGAGCTCTCGAGATTCTTCAATTGAGCCCACAACTCTGTTTTCGTGATAATGGCTGTTTTAATCCCCAGAATCTTCCCACCTCCGATGATTTCTTCGTCGACCAACTCCTCGATTTCTCCAATGATGACCAATTTGTTCAAGACCAGACCCCCGACGAGGACGAACACGACCATGACGACTCTGTTTCTCTTTCCGGTCAAGAAATTCATCCGAACTCCATTGTTTCCGATCATCCTTCTTTACCCTCCGGCGAACTTACCGTTCCGGTGTTGTTTTTGTTTCCTTTCCCCTGTTTTTTGAACAGAGTTGCGGGGGTTATTTTAATTTCTGTAACATTGATGAAGGCTTTGCTATTTTTAACAGGTGGATGATTTAGCAGACCTCGAATGGTTATCTCATTTCGTTGAGGATTCTTTCTCTGGATTCTCGGCTTCCTTCCCCTCCGCCGGAATTTCTTCCTTGGTGAAATCGTCAAAGGACTCCGCCGCCGTAGACAAGCAACCGGGCAACGGTGGTTCTATTTCGCCGCCGGAGAACTGTTTCAAAACCCCCATTCCGGTTAAGGCTAGAAGCAAACGAACGAGAACTGGCGGTCGAGTTTGGTGCCTCGCCTCACCGTCGTTGACCGAGTCATCCTCCAGTTCCACAACGTCGTCGTCCTCCTCCTCGTCGCCGGCTAGTCCTTGGCTTATACTTCCCGACCGTTTCGAACCGGAAATTCCAAAGAAGAAACCAAGGAGAAAGTCGTTATCAGAAAAGCCCAAAACCAGCGTCGGAGCTCAGCCTCCTCGGCGGTGCAGCCATTGCGGAGTCCAGAAAACCCCCCAATGGAGAACCGGCCCCCTCGGAGCCAAAACTGTCTGCAACGCTTGCGGCGTCCGATTCAAATCGGGTCGACTATTACCCGAATACCGACCCGCCTGTAGTCCAACTTTCTCCAGCGAATTGCACTCCAACCACCACCGGAAAGTCCTCGAGATGCGCCGTAAAAAGGAAATCGCCGCCCCGGCCGAGTTATTAACCTTAGAACAGAAATAGCATACCGTAGTTGAGGCGGGCCACCGGAGGAGGAGGAAGAGAAGAGTAAAGTTTAGGTAAGGAACCGGATTTATCGAACCCGGTTCAATTAATCCGAGTTAGTATACATTTTCCGCCCTCCTCGGTGCGCCGTAGGTTTGTAGCAATGTACGTACGTAACCGTCTAGAGAAAAAAAAAAAAAAATTATTATGTATTTCTAAATTTGAATTTCTTTTATTATTAAAATTTTAGATTAAATCACATTTAACTGCAAAATGTATTTTTCACAATAAGTTCCGTATTTTATAACGTAATTTATTTTATTATAGAAGAATAATAGACGTAATAAATAATAATATAATATTTAATTCGACAGTTACTTAAAAAAATAATAATAAATAAAATAGAAAATTGTCGGAGGGAGAGGAATTTGGGCGAGTTTTAAACGGCTTTAGTGGCCGTTGGAAGGCGTAAAAATTATGAAGGACGAGGCGGGGCGACATATGTAATTTAACATATTAAATAACTTTAATTCCTAATTATGGCGTAATAATTAGGTCTGTTTGAAACTGTTGGGCCGTTTTGGTTTCATAAGAAAGTCGAGGCCCATTAATTAATTTACTATTTTTAAAAAATATAGTAATTCAAGTAAAAAGGATTTCGTGTAATTTTCGTAAAGAATAAAAATTAGAGAAATTAAATAGGGGGCACGTGGTTTGGTTTGACGTGGAAAATATCAGAAAAGATCAAAGGTGAAAGACTAAAATGCCCTTGAGTGAGTTTTGCAAATTATTACGTGGCAATCATAAGTTGGTTTTATTCATTTTATTTCAAATAATTTTTTTTTTTTTTCTTTTGGAAATTATTCACATGCAGCAATTATGGGTGTGGGTGGAGGTGGGAAATGGAATAATTATGGCAAAAAATAAAAATTAATAATTAAAAAAATGGATTTTTTATTTTATTTTTATTTTTAATTTTAATTTTCCAAATGAATTCAGCCAAAAGAAAGGGAAATTTTGGGGGGTTTCTTTTTACCTGAATTCGAGCTTATACTTATACCTATCATTGTCACACCCCACTAATATTTCTTTTTAGGAAAATTAAATTAATTAATTAATTAAAAGAAATTAAAATTCCTTTTTTGCAGTGCCCATATTTTGCAAGAATATATTCAGTTTTATTTATTTATTTATTTATTTATTTTTTTGCAAAAGGAAATATCCTTATAGACACCCAACATGTACCAATAGCATGGTGCCCACGTGTAGTGTGTATTTGGAATAACTTTTTTTTAATTATATTTTCGATTTAAATTAAAAAGTTAAATTATAAATTTAGTCTGCAAATATATTTATTTATTTTTAATGAAGTAAATAAATTAGTCAATTTCCAGAAAAGATAATATAAACGATAAAATATTCGAGACCTATGGTTAAAAGAACGAATGATTAATAGAGAAATGCTGAATTTGTGTGTTAGAATTGGAATGGTTGCGTTCAAAAGAAGTGATCTTGGAATCGATTTTTAATGTAGAAAGGCATTTCGATTCAACCATAATTTGGTCCTTCCCCCATATCCCTTCCAAAAATTATGCAAGAGCTTGCCCATATCCATCACGAATTACTTCCTTTATACTTTAACGAGATTCGAGTAGCCGATGAACTCTAACCACTTTCTAATTATATACACGTTTTTTGTTTGATATACTAATTCTAGTTGTATGGGTGATATATTGTAAGATCTTACATCGATTGTAGAGGGAACGAAGTATTCTGTATAAGAGTGTGAAAAGACACGCTTTAAATTCTTGAAGGAAAGTCTTAAAAGAAAAGCGCAATATTTGTTAGTGGTGAGTTTGGACTCTTATAAATGGTTTCAAAAGGACGGTGTGTTAGTGAGGACATTGGACACCAAGGGGTTGATTGTGGGTATTAGAACTAAACACCGGGCAATATGCCAGCATGGACGATGAGCCCCAGGATCAAAGTCAACATCAGTTGGTGTGCCAGCGAAAACGCTAGGTCCTGAGGAAGGTGAATTGTGAGATCTCATCTCGATTGGAGGGGACACAAAACATTTCTTGTAAAGACGTAGAAACTTGTTTTGTTACACATAAAACTGAGACTAACAGGTTTTTGTAACTTGGGTCGATGAAAATTTCTTTTTGATGGTCGGTTATTCTTCTCTGATTTTGGAATTTTTATCTCGTGCATTATAACCTATGAGATGAGGTGGGCGGACTGATTGCGATGTGTGGTGGATATCTAACCTAACTAGATGAGGTTAGGCATAAGGTAAGTGGGTTGGGCAATGGGTGGCCTTAGTCCACCAAAGATAGTAAAGGACAAGTCCGAGAGCTCACTCATTGGTCGGAGTACCTTTAATGTATGTCACTTTGGAGCTTACAGTGACCTTGCTATATAAAAGACTATAGACACGAAACACTCCCAAACACATTTCTACGTAAACAACTTCGAGATTCAAACTCATACCATACTAAAATTTGAGGTCTACACGAAAATATATACTATAAATGTTATATTAATAATTAAAATGTTGTAAAGTTTTAATATTAATATTATAATTTCGTAACCAAAAAAAATCTTATATCTAATTGACTTCCTAAATATTCCACCTAATAATAAGGCCAAAATAGGTGGGGTAAATTGAGGCCCAATAACCACACAATGTATGCGACCCAAATTATGCTCAATAGGCTTCCTAATGTTACATTTGTAACGTGATATTTATATAACAATTTGTGTGGTTCTCGAGCCCTCGAAACCCAAAATTTCAGATTGATTGGACGGGTGATCCGAATAATTCAAATAGCGTTTACAACCCAACTCTATTTTTTGGTTAGATTAGGTAGTCGGAGGCACATTATATTAATAATTAAATCTATGATATCCTAACAAAACCTTCTTATAAAGATGTGAAAACCTTTCTCTAGTAGTGGACAACTTGTAGTTGAACTGTTACATTACTATTTTATCTTTATAATAATCTACGGGAGAATAGAGTTGAGTTGTAACCCTATTTTTTAGTTGATCGGGTTGACCCGACTATATCAATTGAATTTTTTATTTTTTAAAAACACGATCAACCCAACTTTCATGATTTGAATTGAATAATTTGGAATGGTTGAGTTTTCGGGAAATAAATGAGTTTCGATGTGAGGTCACGAGAGAGATATCCATCAACGGTTAGGAAGGAAGTGAAGCACACTCACATGCCCTCTAGTAACACTTGTGTCAGAATCACATAATAACAATAAAATAAAAAAATAAAATCTCCCAATTCCCAATCAATTATTTATGAACATTCATCGTTACAAACTCTCCAATTAATCTTAATCCAAAAAAACATGTCTAAATCAATCAACCTTAGCATCCTAAACAACACACTCTGTTTTTTTTATGGGATTACCGGCCCGGCGCTCCGGCATTCGGCGGAGGATTTCTGCTCGCCTCCTTGGCAGAAGAACAAGAATGTCGGGCAACGGAACAGGCAGTTCCCGGCGAGTGTCACGGTGGCCGAGTCGGGTTTCATCAGCCGTAGTGGCTCCGGGATTGGACCGAATAGATAGTTTCCGCCCAATAATAGTCTTACTAACGGTGACATTCCCGGCTCTGGTTTGGCGGTTTTGAAGGCGTAGAGAACCGGAATCATTCCGGTGAAGTTGTTGTTCTCCAGTGACAAAGCAGAGAGCTTCGGCATTAACGCTAGGAACGGCGGCAGAAATCCAGTGATTTCGTTGTCGCTTAAATCGACGGCGATGAGACTACTCCGAGCACCGCTGGAATTTGGTGTTTCCACGGCGGAGAATTGGTTGAAAGAGAGAGTAAGTTGTTCCAAAGACGGATGTTCAAACAGAGCCGCCGGAACAGAGCCACTGAATTGATTATGACTCAGATCCACAACTTGAAGATTACCCAAATCGCCAATACTACTCGGAACCACTCCTTCAAAGCTATTATTCCTCATCAATAATTGAACCAACGACGCCGGAAAACCCGCCGGAAGCTCTCCAGAAAACCCATTATCAGTTCCATCCAAATAATACAAATTCTTCAAAACACCCAAATCAGGAAACGCACCGGTGAACCCATTAGACTGCAATTCCAGCCGCTTCAAACTAACAAGCCCCACAAAACTCGCCGGAATAGAGCCATTAAACCCATTTCCATTCAAATAAAGCTCCTCGAGCGCAGAGAGCGAGCCGATTGAGGGCGGAACCTCGCCAGAAAACGAGTTGGAAGAGAGACTGAGTGAACGCAACCGAGTCAAATTGGAGAAGGAGTTGGGAATCGGACCAGAGAAGAAATTATTGGAGAAATCGAGCGATTGCAGAAAAGGGAGGTTCCAGAAAACAGAGGAAAGGGAGGCGGAGTAGCCAGCGTGGTCGAGGGTGAGGTCGGTGACTCGGGAGACGCCGGAGACGACGTCGTCGCAGCGGAAACCGCAGGTGAACTTGTGGCCGAAGAGATTATCACATGGGTCGAGAGAGAAATCCCAGGATTCGAGACAGGAGCCGGAGGGGATAGAGGTCGGGTCGAGAGCGTTCTTGAGCTGTTTGAGAACCTGGGTGTCTTCCCAATGGGTCTTGGCTTGAAGTGGAAGGAGGAGCGCCATTAAAAGGGGGAAGAGGGGAAGAAGGAGAGAAGCCATATACAGAGACAGAGAGAACGAGGCAGGGGAAGATGGTGGTGATATGATTTGGGGAAGTGGGGGTTTTAAAACAGAGGATGTGTCAGAGCAATCAACGATGGTATTGGAACTTTGTATTTAAAGTTTGGAAGTGATGTCGTGGGTTTTGGGGGAAACCAGAGGCACACACCCAAATGGGTGCCTTTTGCCCAAAAAAAAAAAAACTAAATCATGTCTTTTTTTTTTTTTTTAAAAAATAAAAATAATATTTTTCAAAATATATATATTAAAAATAAATATTTTTTAAATATATATTAAAAACTAAAGTAATATATATATATATATTAACTCAAGTGAAAGAAAAGTTTTTATAAATAATATAGGGATTTATCTATTTTAAAAGTTTATAAGTGAGCATATTATTTTTTAACATTTTAAAAAGAGGTGTGTTTTTAAAATGTTTAAAAGCAATTTTTAAACTTTTAAAAATAGTATTAATGAAACTATTTCTTTAAATATTTTTTTAAAGTTAAATGGTATTTTTAAAATTTTTAAAAAATATAATGATATTTTTATATAAAATATTAATTGTTACCTAGAGATTTTAGTTTATATTTATTCTTTTATTTTTTAAAATTTAAATGTATGATTAAAAGTTTTAAAAGTTTGATATTTTGTAGTTTCTTATTAATATAATATATATTAAAAAAATAAAATAAAGATTTTTTTAGTTAGATTTAAATACTATTTAATTAGTTAATAAACTACCAGACTGGTGACATTTTTTTATTAGATGAGTTGCGGTGGTCACTTTAACGGCCAAAAATGCCAAGTTGGATCCAATCCCTATATTTAATGTTTAATATGTAATAATTCATCCTTAAATTTTATAATAATTTAATAATAAGATTTATATTAAAATATTAAAAATATAAATATACCTGGACTAAGTTCGTTCATTAATTTTGTTAAGTTCATAAAAGTTTAAGAAATAAAAATATTTTAAAAATGAAGTTTATATTCAATTAATGAATTTAAAAAAAATATTATTACCCGTCTCTTTAATAAGTTAATCATTTTAACGAGATAACATCATAATTAAGAATATTATAAGATAACTTGTTAATAGATATAGATGAAAAAGGTATACATTAGTGCATGTGGTCCATGACAAAGACATGTCGAGCTTGAGTTTGACCATGTGATCCATGATATATGGGACATCATAAGAGTATGTAATATGGGTAGCGTTATAAGTAATTTTAGATTAAATATTATCAAACTCAAAGACGAGCATCCCATTACATATTGAGTGTAGAGCATAACTAGAGTAAGATAGTTTAGAGGTAACTAAGTTAAGGAAAAATAGAAACTGACCGAAGGCAACATAGCGAGCCTGTTTAGGAGTTTGGCCCAAATTTGATCATACCCTCGGCCCAAATGAGCCCGAGGGATACCTTAGCCTCAACATGGTCGGTCAACTTTGGAACAACTCAAAGTAGTTCCATTCATATTTCTTTCATTAAACTGCTATATTAAGACGATAATTAATACTTTTATCTACTAAATTATGTTCGAATTGGTTTCGATAATATTAAACGACTATTGTAATAATCATAGGTTGTTATAAATGGAAGGTGGAAGAAAGGCATCTTAATGCTTTGTTTCTAAGAGTAGTTGGTGTTTGTTCAGTTGGCATTTCTATATGTTAGTACCTAATTTTAACAATTTTTTTAAAATTTTCCAAATCATAATTTTCTTGTTTGTTTCTTTTTTTTTCCACCAAACAAATGACTTTTTTTTTAATATATATATATATATATATATTTAATTATTGTTAAATAAATTATTGTCCTTGGGTACAACCACCAAAACTTTAATTTATTTAATCATGATTAAATATTGTTGGACTATTTTACAATTTTTTTAATCTTTTTTCCATTAAATTTGCATTTTAGTTTCTAATTATGTTAAACTTGTAGGTCCTTGCCATAAATTTAAAGGAAAAAAAAAAAAAAAAACTCAAGCGTTATTTATTTATATTAACTTATATATTATGAACTTTTTCTTAATTAATTAATGTGGGGCTTTAACACTCTGACAACGGGCGTGTTCTCTCTCTAACGTACGGATTTTTTTAGCAGTTTGTCGTACTATCGACGAGCTACAAAACTCTTTTAGCATTCTAGTACTCACTAGATATCAACCTTATCCTTATTGCTACAACCACCGAGTCTTTGTGAGTACCAACGACGCGATGCATTCATCCATGGTGAAAGCACTCGACAACTAGAGTTTCTTCATCCAACATTTTAAATCTAGCCAACCCACTAGCATAATCGATTCATTCTCTATTAAAAACGCTAAGGATACGAGTCCAGCTCTTTGTTCAAGTGATTTTTTGTTTGGTTTTTGAAAAATAAAAAATTTAAGAGGGTTGACCCCTTGACATTTTTTCTGTGAGATCAACCCAACCGACCTAAAAATATAATTTTAACCTAACTATGTCCTACTTTCTTTTTTAAATTATTATGAAAAACAAGAATATCATTGATAATAGATGTTAGTGATGAACATTGTGAATGTTTCGTATTTGAGTTTTATGAGATTTTAGTTATTAATGTTGTAACGGTAAGGGTTTAAAAAAAAAAAAAAAAACCTGAAATCTAGCCGGAAATAGCGAGATTCGGGTGAGGCATGCCTTGCCAACAAGGGCGTATTAATTCCTTGAGTCCCCATATTAAACCTTAGATACCTTAGTAGCCGTCTTTTCCTTTCGAGTTACTGTCGTACATGTGAGGGAGGAGCTAGGTGAGGAAGCGACGAGTTTAGGTGAGGAATCGAAAACATCACGAGACTTCAGACTTCTATGAGTCCTTAGGTAGGAGCAAACCGATGCCAGGGTACTTCGTAACAAACGGGACAGACGCACCGCCAAGGACGAACGGAAGGCGATGGTCTCATCGGCAACGGCAGTCGAACTCTGCGATTAGGGTTCATCGGAATTCTCGGGTGAGGAAGACAATGCAGCAGGTCGCGGGTTAGGTTCTTCGGGTACCCACGAGCTTGCTCAGCCAACGTGCGGCCCGCGCCTTGCAGTACGCGTCAGACACTGACTTTGGGTCGCGTATCCATCCAGCCCAAGACCAGCGATACCAGCCTGCGTCCAAGAGTTGTGCGCCACCAGGGACCTTCTCGACTTGTCGGCTCAGTGTTTTAGCTCCACAGCTCGGCTCGGCTCGACGGTGTGGCTCGACGACTCGGCTTAACAGCTTGGTATACAAATAATATACCGATTTCTAGGTTTTTGACTCTTCTGGAGCCGTTTTTGCCCTTATTTTAGGCATCTGAGGTTAGTGTAACTCTTAATTATTAAACATAGATCATGATAGGAACTTACCTTGATAGATAGACATAAGGTTTGGTTGGGTTACATCATGAAAAGACGCTAAGTGTATATTGTGGTGTTATAGGAGGTAGTTAGACGTGAACGTTAGCTTATTGCGAGTAACTTCGGTCAAGGCCAAGAGGTAAGTAACATGTTGGTGTTAGTTATGTATGTATGACGGTGCATGCCCTGTGCCCTTGCATTCACGATTGTGTTGTTGATGTATGCTAGGTTATATGTTTCTTGCCGTGAACTGCTGATGTATGCCATGTTTATGTATGTGATGTTTGTGCCATGATTTGCTACCCTGTATGCATGAGCTTGATTGACATGTCACAATTGTAATGAGGACTTCGCATGCCATGAATGTGAGGACTAGTATGCTACGATATGCTTACTCGATGTTTAACCTAGTTATGCTATGTAATGCGGTGAGGGGATGGAACGTTGTATGTATAATGTCATGGAGGTGAACCTTAAGGACCTCACACGCGCTATGTGTTATGTACATGGGGTTATTTCCCCGTTATGCTGATGACGGTACGGACGCGTACGTTCCATATTATGCTCGCTATGATATCATGTAGGCTCTCCTTTTCCGTGGCGTCCGGTACTGTATGTCATACGTACCCTACCAAGCCAGGCCTAGGGAGTTCACATGCGAGCTCGCCTGGTGGGCCCACAGTCACGTACGTGGGCCATGCGTAGGGAAGTACCACGCATCCATCCTGCCCGGACAAAGCAAGGGCCTAAGGCCATGGGAAGGAATGGAAGACAGGTCCCCCTCACGTTTTCTTTCTTTTGGTACTTGTGCTTATGTATGTGTGTTGTATGCAACTAGTATGTGTTCTAAATGTATGTTGTATGCTTAACTCCAACACTGGGGTGACTTACTGAGTATTTTATATAATACTCAAGCCACGTGCTACCCATATTTTCAGGTAAGGGCAAGGCCCCCATATACGGCTGAGGGTGAATGCTGCGAAGGCCATGGAAGTCTTAGGGAGGGCTTGTAGTGTCGTAGGGTCTTGTTTGGACTCGTTCGAATGATAGTTAAATTGCAATGATTCCTCTTAGTTACCTGTTGATTTATTTCTTAGTTAGGTTCTCGCTATTGTTTTCCCCCTGATATGAACTACTTATAATAATTAACCTATCGTTGCTATTGAGGTTGTCTTACATAAATTTTCGTAATTTTGTCATACGAGAGCAAGGTAAAGCCGCTAATTAGGTTAGAGAAAATTAGGGGCGTTACAAATATAATCCATATATAGCGTAGGCCTTAGTCCAAACAGATTTTCTACATTTGGTTGGGTTGAATAAAAAAAGTCAATGGATCGAAAAGGCCCAATTTGTCGGTCTTTCCCTTCGGGACTTTATAATTAATTAAGCTTTAGAGATATTTTTTCTAATAGGGCAACCATTCAAACTCTTATTAATTATTTGAGACGATAAAGTAATATAGACATTAAGCTGATAAGTAAAGCGGTGAAGTGTTATACCCATAATGGAAAAATCTAGTAACGACTAAAAACATCACTAACTAACTTACATTTCGACTTCGATAGCATTGGGCACATAGAATCATGTGTGAGTTAGACAAAAACATTTTAAATAAATTACTGATTGAATTCATTATATAATAAGATTGGTTTGAATTGAAAAAATTTACAACTCCAACAATTAGATCGAGTTTGAAAAATGAATTTGATGCAATAAACTAATTTCATC